TTTTTCAAGTTTCCTTGGCAAACATATAGTACATAATAGAACAAGAACATCGGGAAATTGTAAATTTAAGTGGATTTGGAATTTCCCAGTTAAATTAAGGTTAGGGTATGGGTGTTCATATGATATAATCAACCTCCAAATGCTGTTTTTTATATAGAATTCTGAATCCACTTAAATTCCGTTTCCACTTACAACATCCTCATGAACACTCTGAGACTCTCTGAGAACACTAATTTTTGAACATTGTTTATAAGCGCTCGTAGTAAAAAGCTGGGTGGATCATTAATTACTCAGAATTTAACACCAAGCTTGATAGAAATATTACTTTATTTTACTTTTCAAAAAAGAATAGCTAATACTAAGTCTAACCTTGAAATCCAAATGAGTTCTCGTAGAATTTATAATAATAATAAAAGAGGAATTTAATGATGATAAAGAATTCACATAATTATTTGTCTTTACGCATATGCACAAAAATGGAAAGGCCGAACAATTTATTCAGTCGTGTGATGACACGCACGTTAATATTATTATTAACATCATATCTCGTTGAAAAAAAATAAAAAAATTAAGGCACACATTTATCTACGATTTAATATAAATAAGAAAATGAATGATTATCCATTATTATTGGCGCGGTGATTATTTTGTCTAAATATTTACTTTCAAAGCCTGAACACGTTCATCTGTGACTTGACAAATGTCATAAGTAACTCCCATGAAATAAGCATTATCTGTATATATATATTCTAAAGCTTAGCATGTACCGGTTTCTTCCGCCCAAAATAAATGAATTGATTATATTCGTTGAGAAAGTCGTACTTTTCCCTATTATAATCCTTGCTTTTATTTTGTCCTAAAAAGTTGGTTATCGCTTATTGTAAAACAAAAAAAAAAAAAAATATATATATATATATATATACATTTTTTTATCCTTTAAAGAAAAAATGGCGGCAATGCCAATATTTTGGAAATTGGGAAACTTGTTAGCATATATATTTCTTTTGGGAATTAATCTTTATAGCGACTTAGAGCCTAATCAGGTTTATAATTGTTTTCTTTTTCGTGACAAAATTTTGCGCATGAATAACGTTAATAAATAATTTAATAAAAGAGAATTCTATGCTACTTTATTATAATAAATTATATTTCTGCAAATTTTTTTTTTTTAGGCTAAAAGTCCGTATTTCCTTTCCCACACAACGTATATTACTCCTGCTTATTTTACGTTCTACGTATGGTTTCTTATTCATCTATTATTAGGAGGCTTCGGTGGGTCAACATTTGATTTTTTCAATTCGTTTTTAGTCAACACGATTTTGTTCAAAAATTTTACCTTGTTTTTTTTTTTTTTTTAAATTATATATTTGCATAGTTATTTATCAATTTTTTCCAGGAAATGATGAAATAATTGCTGATGGAATTAATTTTCACTTTTTTGCCATCGCATTGTTGAATTCTTTATGGCTTTTTCTTTGGGTAATTTTTTTTTATTTTATATTTTAAATTCATATACAATATTCTTAAAATTTTATAATCAAATTTGTTTTATAATTATATATTACCAGTTCTCTAAAATTTAATCTTAATAATTTTTTTTTTAAAGGAAATAGATTTTCTCTTCCTTGGCTTTATCGTCATTTTATTCGTTTTATTACAGATCTCTTTTGTTTATTGGAAATTGAAAAAACCGGAGTTTCGATCTGAAAATATATTTCAAACTCTTTTCATTCATGCACCATTCTCTTTATACCACGCTTGGATTTTAATAATTGCTGTACTTACAATATACGCAACTTTTACACCTGCTAGACCTATTGCTTATGATCCTGCCGCTATCGAAGATGTTGAACCTATCGCCGATGAAACAATTACAGATACATCTTCTGTTTATTATGAAGGTCCTACTATACTTGTTCAAATTTTAGTGATTTTAGGACTTCTTTTCATGGAATGCACAGCGATTGGTTATATCGAGAAATTTAAAGGTGATCTTGCTGGAGCTGCTGTAATTGCTTGGACTTTATATGGAGTTTGGAGTGAGCAACAAGATGCTATTATACGTTGGACTGCTTTTGTTCTTGCTTTAGTTACTACACTCCATATGTTAAGACCTCTTATTTTGAAATACGTTTTCAAAAAAGATGGTATTCCTATATTTGCTTAAAAATATTTAAAAATATATATATATTATATATATTATATATATATATATATATATATATATATATATATATAT